CAAAGCTAAACGAGGGCTATCTGCGCTAGCTGTCCCTAATTTAGCAGTGTAAGACTAGATGGAAGGCAGCTAGGCATAACCACCCACCGCCAACTCTTTGGCTACTCTTTTACCAACGAATAGTAGGATTGACCGTCATGTTATAACGCCCCACGGTTGAAAGGGGGAGCATGTTTGGTGGGACTGGGATTCGAACCCGCGACCCTTGGATTGCGAGTCGAGCGCCCTAACCATCTGGCCATGCCGAACGTACCTAGTTGAATCTCTTTCTGATATCAATCAGAAACAAACATATTCAAAGCTAATATAAGATCTCACAAGCAACTAAAACATTAGTTGTTTGCTTTTAAAATACTTAAATACTTTCGGAAACAAAATATGCTGTTGAACGTTTATTCTCTTATTTAATATGTATAATATAAAAAAAACAAAAACAAATTGTGTTTTCATGTAACTATACCATGTTTTCGTGGCACTTAAAACTACTAGTTCAAGCTGTGGTTACGTTTTACAGAAACTTAACTTCTTTTTCGAAGTATTTTTAAATTGTTGTGTTGCTTTTTTAAATATAAGATGTCCTGAAGATCATACTTTTGTTTGTATTTAAATATACACTTGTAGAAGTGTTTCAAGTTGAAATGTAGAACCAAAATATTCACTAAATAATGTAGAGTTGTATGTTAGAATAAAGTAACTCATATTCGGAGAGAGAAATGTATTTTATCATCGATGGCGGCTTTGCTTCAGTCGTTTGTGATTTATCGTAAGGTCTTCCTAGTTCATGCTATACCGTTGGCAACGATAAGAAATAAGCGGGCCCGGCATGGCTAGGTGGTTAGGACGCTCGACTCGCAATCTGAGGTTTCGCGGGTTCGAATCCTCGTCGTATCAAACATGCTCGCCCTTTCAGCCGTGGGGGGCATTATAATGTGACGGTCAATCCCACTATTCGTTGTTAAAAAAGTAGCCCAACAGTTGGCGGTTGGTGGTGATGACTAGCTGCCTTCCATCTAGTCTTACACTGCTAAATTAGGTGACTGCTATCGCAGATAGCCCTCGTGTAGCTTTGCTCGAAATTAAAAAAAAATAAAAAATAAGCCTACAGGCGGTGTGTCTCGTTTCGTAACGTGTTGAAAGTGACTAGGCAAAAAAAAGAAAAAAAGAGAGAGATGAGCCTTTTATGGCAGGAAGAGACTTCTTGTTTTTAATATTTGCGATTTATATTTCAAAATATGTCCGTTATCTGTACATTTGTCTTGAGCACTTCTATAAAAAAATGACTTTTTTTTTCTAAACCAACTAGAGATCTAGACATTTATTATTAGTATAAATTATTTCTCCTTTTCCTTACAGCGATGTTAATCATTCTCAATGATTTAATATTTCATTACGTCTTAGATTCACTTGCTTCTAATTAGGGTTTTATGTCAGCATGGTTTTGCTGTTTTATGCCGTGTCATCTATTGACGTTTTCTCTAAATTAAAATTTATTTCTACTATACCAAACATAGACTTTTTTATTACTATGATAAATCATTTGATAATATATAGCAGTAAAAGAAACGGCAGCTTGCTGTTTCGTATACCTGGTCCACGTGGTTTATATTTATGAAAGTCCTTTCGCAATATTTCTTGTCACAAAATGACGGTAACGACATAATACTGTAGATGCGAAAGTAGATATCACCGAGCAAACCAGTACGAGTAAGTTTTAACAGGTGGACTCCTACATCAAGTTTAATAACACACACAATTCTGGTATGCGTTTCTAAAGTTAACATCTTATCTTTACTTTCTAAAAATTAGAATATAAAAATAAAGCACATAAATTAACCATGTTTTTAGTTAGTATATTTCTATTTTAACACTTACAGTGGGATCTTTAGTTTAGGTTTATCACCTAACAGTTCTTGTATATGTGATGTAGATGTATTCTTTGAAGTTACTGTTTTTGTTTAATACACCTAAATATAATTTATAGATGTAACACCTAATACATTCTTATTGTGAAGTGTATTCTTTATATATGTATTCTTTCAAGTCACTGTTTTTTGTTTAATACACCTAAATATAATTTATAGATGTAACACCTAATATGCCCCCAGTGGCACAGCGGTATGTCTACGGACTTACAACGCTAGAAACCGGGTTTCGATACCCGTGGTGGGCAGAGCACAGATAGCCCATTGTGTAACTTCGTGCTCAATTCCAAACAAACAAACACCTAATGCATCCTTATTGTGAAAGTGTTATCTTAGGTGTATTGTCCTAACAGTGCTTTTATAAAAGTTAAAGATGTATTATTAAGATCATTGTTCTTGTGTATTTAACCATGTTTTAGTTTGTATATTTCAGTTCTAACTCTTACTTAAAGTGGAATTGCTATTTTTGGCTGACTGCCTAAAATTCCTTGTATATAAGTTAAAAATGTATTGTTACAGGTTACAGTTTTTGTATAATTTACTCAAGTATAGTTTACAGATTTAGCTCCTAACTCTGCCTTATCGTAGAAGTTCTACTTCAGGTTTATAGTCTAAGATTTCTTGTATACGTTAATGATGTATTATATCAGGTTTAGTGTTCTTGTATAATTTACATATGCATATTATATAGATTTCAGTTCTGACCCTCCTTCAGGAGAAAGTGTTATTTTAGATTTATTATCTAAAAGTTCTGGTATGTTATGAATATATTGCTTGTGATTTCTTATACTAATAATTATTGTCTACGAAGTGGATGTTTTAATTTTAGTCTCAAACTAACGTTATATATGTTAAGTTTGTATTGTTTGAAGTTTCCCAGCAAATGATTCTTGCATGCAATTTGAATGCATTATGTTAAGCTCATGTACTATCAGTTTATGTATGTTTTTGTTAAAAGGTTGTTTCCAGTTCTTATTACTTAGTAATCTTGTTTGGTGCATGTATTATGTGAAGTATATTAGTTGTATGTAAGTTTTTGAATACATGCATTAACTGAACTGTTTTCAAGTTCATTATTTTCTATAAAGACACAAAGCACTCCGTTGATAAATTTTATCTGCACACTTCACATCTTACG